TACTGATTACTTTCTTCCTAGTTTAGTTCCCAATGAGAACACATGTCCTATTTTTTAATCTTTTGGATAGATTTGGGAATTTTAGGAAGCCAGTTTGTCTAAAGGCACTGTAAACTTTCTGATGCAGCATATTTAGTGAATGTTGGGTGTTGTGGATGTTTGCCCAGCTTTGGGCCTGCCCAGCCCCTTTGAACACTCTTCTTACAGTTGAGGACTTCTCCCCGTTATGACTCCTGACTTCCTGGGCATGCTTTCTCTACTTCCCTTGAAACTAGGGCATGGACATGTGGCCCAGGCTCTGGCCACCGGCTGCTAGATGTGTTTGGAAGCAAATACCATAAAGAAGGAGGTGCTGTGTAGAATTCCTTCTAGCAAGGATACTGAGAGACAGACATCCTGTCAAAGGTGGCTGTGGCATGTCCTGGCTTTAAGCCCTGTGCCAGCATCAGGAGTGTGGACAGAGGTGCCTGAGCCCAGTGGCCATAGCAGTAGCATTTCCACTAGTGGAGTTTGATGGTATAACTTGGACATCACTTGTGGATGGCTAGCCTCTGAGCCTGATTTTCTGGCCCTCCTGTAGATCCTGAAAGAGACTAAATAGTCTTCAGCAAACCTCCTTGCTGCTTAAATTAGCTTGAATGGGTTCTGTTTGCAAATCTGAATGATAAAATGGGATTGTCGTGTATCTTGTGGGTTCCATTTTTATATCTGAATTGCTTTTCAATGCCTTTCTTCCCCAATCTTCCAAATTCATACATTATAATCAAACTATGAAACAAGAGATTATGCAGATCGTTAGGGTCCAATATTTAAAGACCACATGATGCAAAGAGTCCTAAGTATTTATATTCAGGGCTGGACCACCATCAATATTAAATTCTCTACACAATTCCACATTTATAACATACTGCAAACTTTATGAATCCTAATTAGAAGAATGAATACAGTAAAACCTTGGATTGCAAGTAATTTGGTTTGCGAGTGTTCTGCAAGACAACCAAACATTTCTAATACATTTTACTTGGTAAATGAGCAATGCCTTGCAATACAAGTAGTTTGTTTCCAGAACAAATTATGATCACAAACCAAGGTAGTACTGTATTTGGTAGGTGAAGGTCTTTTAGTCAAGTGGCCTCTTCCCAGAATAGCTCCCTGAAGTTTAGTCCCAAGGCTCAGGTCAGTCCTATATGAGGCCAGACCCAACCTGGTGTAACAGCCGGCATTTGTATCACTCAGACCACCCTTGGTTGACTCTGGTCTGTGGCTCTGTTTTTTCCTCCTCTAAAACTCCTTCACATATAAAGACACACACACACACGTTTGGCTCTCAATGATAGACTTCCATTCTGTAATCATTATTTTATGTACGCATTTTATATCTCTGATTAAATAGTTAATCCCTCAAGAAACAAGAACCATATCTTGTTTCTTTTGTATTTCTCACAGCACTGAGCAGACTGTCTAAATATTGTAAGGATTTGTTTAATAAATATTTCTGATTGATTTCTCTCTTGGGGCTATGGAGTCTAAACTACATGGATGTCTCTTCAATGTGTGTATATGTGAGAGAGAGAGATAGAAAGATGTCTGAGAATCAATAAATAATAAATCCCAGACATGGAGTTTGGAACCAGAAACGCTGAAGATACAGTCTTGGCCTTGTGTGAGCAACCCACCTTAGTTTGTCACATATAAACTGGGGCTAAAACAATACCTACTCCAACACCCTCCTGGGATTGGGAACTTAATAAGACATAATACGAGTAAGTACTTAAAGCACCTTGTGATTATTATCTGGTCAACTATGGGACCAGAGAGAGGAGTGGAGAAGAGACTCTAAAATTAGTGTGTGGAGAAGGGCTCATAGCTGCCATAACCCACTGGGTTTGGTCCCACCTGCCTGGAACCAATGGGTTTCGTAGCACTGGACTATTAGGTTTCCAAATATATCTAGGGAGCAGACATCCTCTTCATTGCCCACTCCTGGACAAAGCCATCAATTGTATCTCAGACTTTAAAACATCTGACCTCACAGCCTGATGCTCTGTCCCACCCTCCCCTGGGTTCAGGCCCTGGTCCTCTCATAGCTTTGGCTGCGTTTTGCCTCTGGTCTCTGACTTCCTTCCTGAATCCACATGGAGGCAAAGCTGATCACCTCACTCCTCTAAGAATCTCTGTTGGATATCTAAATCCATATACCAATGGTGTTTCTATATCTAAAAAGGGAAGCCCAGTTATGATGTTGATGCAATCAAGTGAGAGATGTTGGGTATGTGAATTAGGATAGCCGAAGAGGTAGGAAAAGATTTGAGAAAGAATATATAAAACAATAAACCCTTTCTCTCTCTCTCTCTCTCTCATTCTGTATTGTTAACAAACTGTGAACCATGGTTATCGCTAAGATTTCATCTATTCGTTTATCCAACAAATTGCAAGATTGCAAGCCTACCATGTGACAGGCACCATTCTAGGCACCGTGGATATGAGGGGACAACATAGAAACAGATCCTGCCCTCTTGTAGCTCCAGTCTAGGGGAGAAAGCATATGTAGGAAATCAATCAGGGCCACATGATAGTACTTGGGGGACTACTTGAGATAAACTGGTCAGGGGGAAGTCATCTGAGGTGGTGATATTTAAGCTGAACTTCAGTGAGGATGAAGAGTCAGCTGGACACGGAGCTGGAGAATAATATTCCAGACAGAAGAAAAAGGAAGAGTAAAGGCCCTTGGGTGAGAAAGTTTGGCATTTTTGCGGAAAACATGCTAGTGTGAGTGCCAAGCAGGGTACTGGGGAAAATAGTATGGGAGGGGTGGAGAGGGAGGCAAGAGCCATATTTACATGAAGACTCAGTGGTCCTTGTCAGAGGTTTGAATTTTTTTCTAAAATTGGAAGCCATTTAATGGCTTTGAGCCAGGGAGAGACATAGAATGAATAATATATTAAGCAGGTTACTTTGGTTCCTGAGTGTAGACTACAGGGGACAGGGTAGAGGTAGGCACAAATGCATACAGGGGACCAGGTAGGACAGTGTGCTACTGGCTCTGGCTGAGTTGTTGGAAGCTTGGTTAGAGGTGTCCAAGGACATGGAGAGAAGTGATCAACTATAGGATCTACTTTACGGGTCAAATTGGTCAATGGAATGACTAGATGGAATGATTAGATATGAGGGTGAGTGGCAAGATGGACTCAAGGATGACTTAGTGTGGATGGTGATGCCATTTGCTGAGACCATTGGGAAAGGAATAGATTCAGGAAGAAAAGTTGAGTTCATCTTCGGACATGTTAAGTGTGAGAATGCTAGTGATGTCAGTGGAGATGACATACGGTAGTTGGAGAAATAAGTCTGGAGATCTGGGAGAGGTCCTCACTGTAGATTTACATTTGTGAGGCATCAGCGTATAGATGCTATAACAGTCACAAGGCTGGGAAGGATTGCCCAGGGAGAGAATGGGACTAGATCAGAGAAGAGATAAGAGGGCAGCCATCTTTACTAATAGAGAAAACAGGGGCTGAGCTGTCTGGAGAGTGAGGTTCAAGGGAAAGCAGGAGGGGGTGCTTCCCAGGCTCCAGCAGAGAAAGGTGTGTCCAGATGGGGAATGCAGTCAACTGCACAACATCCCTGAGGTAGAGTAAGACAAGGGCAGAAAAGAGATGAGGACACGGGATTTGGCAACTTGTAGGTCATTATGATGATTATGACAAAAAGCAGTTTGGGACCACAGCCTGACTGGAGTGCAGGGAAGGAAAGGTGAAAATGTGTAGCTGGCAAGGATACACAGATTCAAGATGTTTTGCTGAGAGGGTGGAGCATGAATGCTTTTGCTTTTTGTTTGTATATTCTTATTTTCCAACAATGACCACTTATTACTCATGTAATAATAATAATAATAATAATAATAATAACAATAATATACACATTGCAGATAGCACTCCACTGTTTTTGAGAAAATGAGAAATTCTTAGTAGAACATGGCAGACCACCTTCCCTCTACTGAGACCTCTCCAACCCCAGATTACAAATGTATAATCAATCTATTTACACAAATAGATTGGTACTATTCTCCACAGGTACCAATCTCATGTCTGCTGCACTGTTTCACTTTTACCAGCTTCCACCATGTATATAAATTTGGAGTCTAGTGCCAGGTATTAGCTATGGCTGGGACTCCCATTCCTCTCAGCATCCGTAAGTCACCCCACCCCAACCCACACATGTCCAGGATCATTCAGTTACCCACTTATCACCCACCCAGTTTCATCCACGCATCAGTCCCACAGCTGCAGACAAAGCTCATTTCCTGCCTTCTACAACTGCTGCTAAAGCTGCAGGATAGGTTAATAGGGAAAAGAATAGTCAGATGCACATGGGTTTCCTTCCTCTGTCACTTATTAGCTGTGTGACCTTGGGCAAGTCTGTCTCTCAAGGGCCATGTGCCTCAGTTTCCTCATCTGTAAAAACGAAGTTAGTAAAAGCCACATTCTATCAGTTTTGCGTTGCCTGCCATAAAGTAAGCAGTAGACAGCTGACTCTGCATCAGCGTTTGCGCGGATGCATTGAGCCACAATAGGTGAGAACTAAGATACTTCAGAAATGTGACCGGCCAGTGGGGCCCCTCACATGACTGCGAGATGCCAAACAGTATCTCGCTCCCTGCACAGGGCGTGTGTTGGTCGGGTGACCCGTCTTACCAGTCGCTCTGCACTCCAGGTCTGTGATCACGCGCCCCCCACCCACAGCAGAGCCTGACGCAGCGGTGGCTCATGCGCCTTTCCGCTCCAGCCTTTTGCCACGGACCACACGTCTCATCGCTGCCGACCGGCCCCGCCCCCCATCTCAGGCGCGCCCCTCTGGCTTGCCGGCTCGGGTGTCGGAGCGGCCGCGCCCACGGGCCATGCCCGCTGATTGGCTGCGTTGCGGCAGCGGGCGGCCCGTGGGCGCACACACCCTCCCAGTGCAGCCAATGGGTGTGCACACGTCATTTACTGGGCGGCCCGCGAGCCGGCAGCCCCTCAATAAGCCACATTGTTGCACGAAACTCTAGCGCAGGAGTCCCGGGCCGCTGCTAGCAACCCCAAGTCACCTAGCGGAGAAGATCTGCTGGCGAGAGCAGGGCGCGTGTGAGCCGGAGAGGTCCGATCGCCTTAGTGGATCTGAGCTGCGATTCTTCTCAAGTTGAGCCTTAGTGATTCCTGTGGTTGAAGTTAGTGCCCTGACAGCAGGGCAACCCGACGTCGCCAGGAGTGATTCTTGGGCGCCTTCTAGCAGTTGTGACTCCCCAAACCTGTTTCTAGAGACCCGAGACCCTTCAGGCGGGAGTGCCATCGTGGTTAGCCTTTACTGTGGGCCGCCCGCACTTACCGCTCCGGGTCGGGCAGCCAAGCCCCAGTACAACGCTTTCCAACTGTGCCGCCCTCCTTCCCTACACGCGCTCCAGCCTTGGTTTCCCAAGCCGGTGCTGTTGGTCCGCGGCAGGATGATCGCCTCGCATCTGCTCGCCTACTTCTTCACCGAGCTCAACCATGACCAAGTGCAGAAGGTAAGTAAGCCGGGGTCGCTGGCTCGCCTCTGACAAAGTTGAATGGTTCCCAGCCTTTTCTACGGGGCCCCGGCTGGCATTCTCCTTGACCCTGAGAGGACACCCTTCTTCCCCATTTGGGGCGGAGGACGTGGAAAGAGTCTGGGCGGCGGGGAAACTCCTGCACACGAGGAGCCACGTCCGCTAGGCACAGGCAGGCGTGTGCGCGCGTGCGAGGGGCTGGGGCTCGCGCTCCGCACGGCTCTCACTCCCTGCCACCCTGCGCGTGCTCGCGCTTCTTTTTTCTGGAGGGGCGGGTCACCCGGCAAGTAGTCTTAGACTGATGAGCCCACGTGGGAGGAGCCCCTCTTTCGCAGCCGGAGTTCCGGGAGAGCACATGGGGAGAACTGTGGCTGGGGGAGGAGGCTCCGCTGCCGCGTGGGGCTGCCAGGGGCCTCCTGCGCAAAAGGACCGCGTTTTGGGGGAAGTGCGATTCCCTTTGGCGTTCCTCTCGGCCTTGCGGAGGTACATTTGGGGAGAGGTCGCCAACCCGGGAGAGAATTGAAAGGAGACGGAGAAACTACCCCGCTGCTGCGCCCCCTCCCCGGAACTGAAGCGCTCGGAACTGAGGATCCGCAAGGGGCGTACAAGGCCCCCAGCCCAACATTTGCCTCAGAACCGCCGCCTTGGGTCCCCGGGCCGTCTCCAAGTTGGGGGAGCAGACTTAGGATGTTACTTCTGGTGCTCCTAAAAGTTACTCGGAGAGGACTAACTCCCCCCACCTCTGCCCTTACCTCTTCCTTGAGATTTCTGTCGTTCCTAAAAAGCTTTTCCTTGCCCCAGTACCTGACCTGGCCGTGCCCACCTCGCGCTCAGCAGGCGCTGCTTAGCCCTCCCCCAGCCAGAGCTCTTTCTGCGGGCCGATCATTTACATAAAAAAGAGCCTCTGGCGGGGCCGGGAGCCTAGCTCTCTGTGCCTCCGGGCATGGGGTGGGGGTGGGGCCTGGTTGGGCCCGAGGACCTATCACTCTGGGGAGAATTGAGTTTCTGAAATGCTCGGGATTTCAGGATTGGCTCCTGGCCGTGGGCTTCAGCTAGGATTTGAGAAGAGGGGATAGGCTGGGGCGAGGGTGAGCGGTGTGCGGTGCTGTGAGGCACTGACGGAGCATTGCTCAATTACATACTTGAAGTTTCTGTGTTTTAGTGGGAACACACTTTGGGGAAAAATGTCTTGACATTATTGTTTGGTGGGGCAACCTGCCTCTACTAACATTCTGGAGATCCTGAGAGCAAAGGAGAGGATGGTGGGTCTTGGTGTTTTTGAGCCGCAGCAGATGAACCCCCCTCCACCCCCCGCCCCCCGCAATAAAACAGGGCATTACTCAGGCCCAGACTGGAATAGGGAGCAGAGGGCGGCTGTTTGAGTTGAGTTTTTCTCTGCTTATAAACTGCTATTCTTCCCTAACTCATTCCTGGGATGTGGTCCTGCTCTGCACTTGAATTCATTTTAGTTAAGAACGTGTCTGTGAGCAGGCAGGATCTTGGCAACTTCTTTGGGCTTCTCTGCCCCCAAAATGACTTAATGTTTGGGGAAGACTGTCATTCCTTGGCAAGTCCCAAGATACAAGGCTGTAGGGTCTTTAATCCAACTGAGGGTCTTCTTGGTTGGGTGAAGGCCACCCCAGGACATTTTAGTTCTTTTACAGATTTATTCTTCCCCAAACCGGAGGAAGGAGGCTAGGGCGTGAACTGTGGAGTTGTACCACCCTCCTGGCCTGGAAAGGGGCCATCTCTTTGGTCCCAAAGTGGAGAGACTTAGCCATGGTATCTCAAAATGAGTTCTAATCTCTGTTTTGTGTGTTTTTTTTTAAAGGATATTATTTTATTTTTAAAGATTTTATTGGGGAATTGGGAAAGGGGAACAGTGTTGGGAATTGGGGAAGGGGAACAGCCAAGCTGTTGTCCTTCAGTCCTAGTTGTGGAGGGCGCAGCTAGCTCAGCTCCAAGCCCGTCACCATCCTGTGGCAGCTCGCTGTGGCTCAGCTCAAGGTGCTGTGTCTTAGTTGTGGATGGGCATAGCCCACCATCGCCTGCGGGAGTCAACTGGCAACCTTGTTGTTAGGAGCATGTGCTCTCACCAGCTGAGCCATACTGCCACTTGTTGGCAGCACAGCAGCAGCTCAGCTCTGGCGCAGCTTGACTGGCCCATGACGGAATTGAAACGGTGACCCTGTTGCTCAGAGCTTGCGCTCTTAACCAACTGAGTTACTCGGCTGGCCCTGTGGGGGTTTTTTTAGCCATAGGACCCTGAGCACATCACCTTCCCTCTTTGGACTGTCAATTTTTTTTGTAAAGTGGGGATGACAACAGCGGCCTTGTCCACTTTATGGAGTTGGTGGTGCTTAAGCACAGCAATCTGAAGACATTTTTCTTGTAGGCTTCTCTACACTTGCAGCGGCTACCTTTTCAGCCTGCGAAGCGCCTGGGGGACAGTTGGGTGTATTTCCCCTAAATGACCAATGGGGGCAGAGTTGAATCAGGCCTTTAACTCACCAGGTGTCAGAACCTGGGATTTAGCCTCCTGGGTTAGGTGAGCATAGATGTTTGATTACAGCTGCAATTACATAGGAAGTAGGAAGAGAATCAGAGAGAATATTTTGGAAGCTTCTTTTCAAGTTGCTGCTAGAAGGAAGAATTAGGAGAGAAGGAGGATGCTTGAGTTTAATTCTAGAGTCTTGAACAGGCCTTGATTTGGATGCTTCTGAAATCTCCATCATCTTACGTCTCCTGGGTTGTAGTCTGAGGCATGGAAAGCTTAGGTTCACCTGCCCAGAACTAGCTTGCCCCATTGGGGTCACTTGTCTACTGATGGACAAGCCCAGTGTTTTGTGCCATTAGGAGGGGAATTAGGGTTATTTGTTCATTTTTGCCAGTTGACAGTTTGAAACTCAAGAGCAAACACATATAGCACCTACTGTGTACCAAGTACTGTTTTAAGCTCTTTACACGTTAGCTCGTTAACATTTACAACAACCCTATGAAGTAGAAACAATTACAGCAAATCCCCACTTGACAGGCTCTGTGAGTTTAAGTAAAGTGATGTATCATGAAACCAATTTTTACCATAGGCTAATTGATATAAACCAGAATCAAGTTCCTATGGCATCTCATCAACATTATAATGAAACGACATTGAATAAAACAGTGTTATTGTATTCGAAGACCTGCTGTATTGTCAGCATCCCTGTTTCACTCCTAAGGAACTGAGACACAGAGTTAACTTGTCCAAGGTCACTAGCTTGTTTTGTAAGAGCTGGGAATTGAAACCATGTAGTTTGGGCTCCATATTCCCATGCTCTTGACCACCTGACCTGCTGCTGTATCATTAGTGGACTCTGTCCTGGCCCCTGTCTGTGTTCACTTTTGGATGCAGGCAGCACCTTCACTCAGCATGCCCAGAAATGCAGCTCTCTCTCTCTTCTTGGTTAGAGTAATGGCACCAGTACCCTCTGGCTATTCTGGTTGGGAGCCCTGGGCTCAGTTCACTGACATTCCTTTCTGATTGCTACATCTTTGTCAAGTGGTCTCTGGGTTACTTCAGAGGCCTCCCTAGTTTCCCTGTTTCCAGTCTCTTTCTGGAGCCAGACTGGGTTACTTGAGAGGCCTTTTAAGATTCTGCATGCTGAATGCCCCCTTGACCCAGCCTCATCTCTGTCTTTATTCCCCCCAAATTTGAATAACCATCCCTCTAAATGTCAAGGCCGTTCACACAAGGTGCTTTTGCCTTATCATTCCACGTACACTGGAGTTGGCAGTTATCAATTCTGGTTTCTTCCTCAGGGCAGGGAGAATCTGGCTGTTCATATTTATAGCCACAGTTTCTGGCTTCTGGTGAGGTGCTCAGTGAGTGCGATAATGAAAGAGGGGACCTTCCTGGAGAAAGAAGCTGAGCAAAGGTTGCAGGAAGTAAACGAGTGTGAGAGGCATCTGGGGGGTGGGGGTGGGGGGAGACTGCTAGTCCTGGGCGGAAGGAGTGGGTGGATAGGTGGACCCTTAGAGGGAAGGGCAGTGATGGGCTATTCCTCCATCAAGGCTTGAGGCTTGGCCTGAGGCTGATTCTGCAGTCATGGGAGGGGTTGGTGAGAGGAGAAGGGGAAAGAGGGACAAGGATTTTCCTGTCCTCCAGCAATCCAGGCTTTATGTCCTGCTTGTGGAGAGAAGATTCTTTTTATTGACTGATACATAATCAATATACAAGACACAGGATTTCTGTCTCTTAAGAATGAGAATCAGATTAACCAATAGAAATGAGACGAAGTGTACCTCCTTCCTTTAGCCCTTGATCAAATTGTTTAACATGCATAGACTGGTGACATATTTTCGCTCCAACCCTGGAGTATAGATGGCTCACGTTGGGCTCCCTGTGTATGAGCCAGGGGTGGCTTTCAACTCGGGACTCATTGGTGGGAGGGGTACCTTGGAAGCAGAAAGGTTGAACAGAGCCACTAAGAGTTTTAATGTCTTTTGAGAACCTACTGTGGCTACAAGGCCCTCTGGGTACTATGTGGGAAATTGAAACTAAGCCATCCTTCAGTTGTCTGGTGAGGTAAAGCTCCAGGAAAAGATACTTTACAGACACTAAAGGGTTCTGTGTAGTCTCTCTGGGCTGTAGCAGTCAAGAGAGGGTACATTACCATGGGGTAATCAACCCCATGGTAATATAAATTACAAAACATATCAATCAACAGTGATTGATATGTTTTGAGCACCTACTATGAGCCATTAATCTTCAGATAAGGGATTAAAGTACCAGGGGTAAACTACTGATTATTAAAACCTTGATAAGGTTATTTTTGACTGCGTTAACTCACATTGACAGGTACAATTTGTCTCATTTGGTCAACTTGTAACCTAATATTTAGTATACTAATACTGTCCCTTCCCTGCTCAGAAGAACTGGTGGTAGTAGGAATATTCTGTAGTGTTTGGTAACCATCCATTTGTATTGTCAAACTTCTATT